AACCTTGGCGTGGTCATAGTGAGCGGTAAGATAGTGTCGGTTAGCGTAGTTCGGGAGAATATACCTGGTAAATTATTATAGTTTCTCGGGAGAGAATTACGACACATGAAGTGCTCACGATCAGTAGAGAATACTTAGACAAAATTATAGGAGTTGTAGCAGGAAGGATTCCGAAAATTAGGAAAATCATAACTCTAGGCCTCCTTGATCTTGTTTCCAACCTTTAGTATCTTAGTTGATAGTTTTACTACTTTAATATTTGTTAGTTAATTAGTTAAAAATAAAAAATTTCAATCTTTATAACTAGAAAATTGTTTGAATTTGTATTTCTTAGCGATATTGAACAACAATAGCTAAACCTTAGTTCTATTTGGATTCGACTCCGCACTCTTAGACGGAATTATATTTGTAACAGCCACTTATCCTTTTTAGGACTAGAGTTGGGCGTGATCAATTGCCTTACAGGAAGAAGAAGTTAAGATAATTAACATTATTTTTGATAGAATTTGGTAACCAAATCTAAGTTGTAAGTGTTATTTAGAAAGTTATTAATGTTTGATTTCTTTAATTTCGGTTTTAATCTCAAAATTTTCAATAAATTAATCCAAATGGTAGTTAAAATTTAATATTTATAAGTTTTCTTGTTTGAATGACAATTATATGTCAAACAACCAATAAAACTAGGAATATGATTGCGACATTACTAGTGCATGCGATGAGACGAATGTGATTTTCCTCAGTTGATTATGATGGCATATGCTTCATGTAGCTATGTTTAAAGTATTTCTTACAATGTTGATACTATAATTGCCTTATACAAAAAAAAAAAATTAAGATAATTAACCATACTTTTGATAGAATTTAGTAACGGAATCTAAGTTGTAAGTGCTATTTAGCAAGTTGTTAATGTTTATATCATAAGAATGAAAAGGGAAAAAAAAGGAAAGTTGTTATGAAAATTCGAATTGAATTTAACTATATATGTGATATAGTTTAATGAATTTTTATATTATTATTTTGACATATTAATAGGTTATTTTTTCAGTTACATATTTATTATAGATGTTTTTCTGTAATTTTCTAAAATTGCATTTATAATAGTGAGTGTTTACAAGTTACATGGGTCCACTGTCTCCATCAAACCCCTATATATATATACTCAGATACTTCATAATCATAAAACCACAAAGAAGAATAAAATAATCAGAGAGATTTTGAGTTTCTTTATTTTTCAAGGTATGTTCAAATCTTAGTTTTATTTTCTAATTCTTTTTATTTGTTTGTTTTTGTTTTCTTATATGTTTCAACGTTTCTTAAGTAATCTATGTGTGACACATACACTAAAAAGTGAATGTCAAATTCTAAGTTCTTCGATTTTCACTCAAACTTAGTTTTACTTCTGTTATTTATCTAGATGGATCCCTATCTTTATCTTTATCCATAGAGATATCTATCTATATGGAGAGAGATTTATCCATGAATCAGCCTAAATTAAACTATCATCTATCCAGATAAATATGTCCCTATAAGCGACTTATAAAATATTAAAAAAAATTAGCTGGTGTTTTTTTTCACTTTGATGTAATTTAAAGTAATAATAAAACCCACAATCCTATCCTAATATTATAAATTTATTTGTATCCATTGACGAAGGCTTAAGGTGTTTGAATTTGGTTTTGACAATTCAAAATTCAAGATCTTCTATTTCAATGTTATCTGAGAACTGCACTATTTGTTATTATGAATTATTCATATTTTTCCCTAGCGTACATGAAAAAATGGCATCCCTATATAAAAATTAAAGTTTTTTACATTAATTAAGATGGTCAGAATTTTATAACAGTAAAAGTAAAATGCAAGGAGATGAAAAAAAAGAAGTAAAATGCAAGGAAAAGTCATAAATGTTTTTTGTTAGTTCACTTAAATTTTAAAATAATTGTAATATTCAACTCAAAGTCACATGTTTAACTTTGATTTAGTATGTTAAACATAGGTATACATAAACTTCATTATTTAGAGACATCATATATAGGTAACATATAAATCAAAGTTAAACATAGGACTTTGAGTTGGAAATTGCAATTATTTTAAAAGAACTAACATTTAAAAAAAATAGTTATGACTTTGTTTTGCATTCAACAACGAACCTTTAGTACTGTTATGAAATTTTAACCATCTTAATTAATTAAAAAATATGCGGACACTATTTTTTACTCTAGCCGAAAAATGTGAATAATTGTAATTACCATCTAAATGTTACACGTTTAACTTTGATTTAATATGTTACCCATGATTTCTAAATAATGACGTTTTTGTATTAAATAATGTTGTTTATGTAAACATCCTAAAATAGGAGGGGAAAAGGATTTCTAAACTTAAAAGGAGGAAGAAACACTAAATATTAGAGAAATAATTAAATTTTTATTCATAAACATTAGAAAATAATAAAATAACTATTCCTAGATATTAAAATAATAATTAAATAATTATTTTGTCTAGCTAGAAATTAAATTCTAATAAAGGATAAAAGCACGAAGTTCATTAGTGAAACATTGTTCACCATTTTTTCCTTTAAAATTAAATTTCATACTAGATAAAATAATTATTTAATATTTTAGGAATAATTATTTAATTATTTTCTTAATATTTAGGAATAAATATTTAATTATTTGCCTAATATTTAGGATTTTTTAATTATTTTAGGTTTAAGAGTCCTTTTCCCCCTAATATTTTGACATTTTTACTTAAACAAAATTATTTAATAGGGAAACTTCATTATTTATACATCTTGCACAGGTAACATATAGATTAAAGTTAAATGTATGACTTTGAGTTGGAGATAATGATTACTTTAAAAAAAATTAACATTTTTAAAAAATGGTTATGACTTTGTTTTGCATTCAACAACGAAATTTTATTAATGTAGTGGAATTTTAACCATCTTAATTAATTAAAAGAACCTCATTTCTGTATATACGGATACTATTTTCCATGTAATCTACCGGAAAAATATGGAAAATTCTAATATCCAACTCAAAGCCACACGTTTAACTTTGATTTAGTATGTTTTCTATGCATGATTTCTAAATAATGAACTTTCTGTATTAAATAATGTTGTTTATGTAAACATGCTAAAATAAGAGGGGGAAAAAGACTTCTAAACCTAAAAGGAAGAAGAAACACTAGATATTAGGGAATAATTAAATGTTTATTATTAAATATTAAAAATAATTAAATAATTATTTCTGAATATTAGAAAAAATAATAAAATAATTATTTTGTCTAGATAGAAATTAAATTTTAATAAAGGGTAAAAGTATGAAGCCCATTAGCGAAATATCGTTCGCCACTTTTACCCTTTAAAATTTAATTTTACACAAGATAAAATAGTCATTTAATTATTTATTTTAGTATTTTAGGAATAATTATTTAATAATTTTTAATATTTAGAAACAAACATTTAATTATTTACCCAATATTTAAGAGTTCTTATTCTTTTAGGTTTATGAGTCTTTTTCACCCTAATATACTTGGCATTTTTACATAAAAACATTATTTAAGAGGAAAACTTCATTATTTAGACATCATGCATACGTAACATATTAATCAAAGTTAAACGTATGACTTTGAGTTGAATATTACAATTATTTTACAAAAGCTAACACTTTAAAAAAATAGTTATGACTTTGTTTTACATTCAACAAATAAATTTTATTACTGTTATGGAATTTTAACCATCTTAATTTATTAAAAAAATTTATTTTCTTATATATGGACGCTATTTTACCATGTACTCTAGACGAAAAATATGAATAATCTGTAATAACAAGTAATGTAATACTGAACTAACATTCAAATAGAACATATTGAGCTTTCTAGCAAATTCAAACACCTTAAGCCTTCATACGTGGACTAAAATAAATTTATAAAATTAAGATAAATTCTGGGCTTTGTCATTTATTTTAAATTATATTAAAGTGAAGAAAATCACCAAATTATTTTTTTAAATATTTTATAATAAAAGAAGTAGCACTAGCCACTAAGTTTGAGTAGAAATAGAAGAGCTTGAACTTTGAGGTTCACTTTTTCGGTGATCCGCTTGCTTAAAAATTATTATTATATAGTACAAATTATGATATGCGTTAAAATTTAGAGTCTAAAAAGACAGAATTTCTACAAAATTGAATTTTATTTATATAAATCGAGTAAGTTAATTTTCACAAGAATTTATGATTTTAGAAATAATTATTTCATCCAAAACAACAATAATCTAGGTGATATTATAAGTCTTCCACTTCAAAATACCAAGAGACTCTTAAATTAATCCTTATTTTCTTTCTTCAGAGTGCAATCAATTGCTAGAAGAAGAGACAAAATTGTAAAGCAAATTGCATAAGAAATCAAATTCATGAGCTTACAATTATTTTTGGATTGCTAAAATATGAGATTTTTAGGTTGCTTATATTAAGAATATTAACAATTATTGCCAGCTTGAGAGGTTTTATTTTTTAATAAACTGTTAATAAAATACTCTTTAAAAGTATTATAGTAAAGTTTTGTAATTTTTTGGGTGTTGATAAATCTATCTAACCGATAGTTATTTCATGTCATCGCCCAAACAAATATTAAATAAACAATATATGGCTGACCGATATTATCCATCACTATCGAGCTAATGGAAGTAAAAGTATTTATACTTTGATAGGCCAAGATCTTTTTTATTGATTTAAATAAATAAAATCAAAACGTTTATCATTATTACGAGTTTGATTCTTTTAAAATTTTACTTAATAATTTATACATTTTAAAAAAATATATTTATATAATTGTTATAAAATTTGTATTTATTGATACGAGATAACCCTAGGACTAGTAACTAAATAATAGTGTCAAAATTGTATGCCCTGCCAGCTAAATAAAATAAGAGAACACGTGGTGGGCTTTGGCCCATTTAACAGAAAAATATAAGTATATATTTTAAAAAAGAATTGGATAAAATCAAAGTCTAAATCTCCCAAATTAGAATCGTCATTGACGAAGCTCCGTATAAAACCCTTGAGCGCTCTTTCTTCTTCCAAAAAATTAACACTGAAATTCTCAAAGGAAAATACGAAAACAGCCCACCAAAAAACATTAAATGGAGGCGTTTTCTTCAATGGAGGTTTGCTCTCTGTTCATTAGATATAATTTGATTTGTTTTCAGTTGATAAATGTGTGTGTGTGTGTATAATGAAATACTGAGTAAGATTACGGAATTGTTGTTATATGGTGAAACCCTAACTATGAAGGATTGAGTAAGAATTGAGATAGCCGCCTGTGGTTGGGGTACCAAAAGAAATTGATGGCATAAATCAATTGGGTAATTCCTAGTAGAGGCTAAAAAATGATAGGTGATTTCTTCTCATCTGCCTAAGCCCTTGTGGGTGGAGCTACCTGGTACTTGTGCTGGTAGGAGGTAGCAGATACATGATGGAGTAGTCGAGGTGCAGAGAGCTGACCCTCGACACTATTGTCATGAAAAAAAGATCAATTGGGTATTAGGAAAAGAGTAATTGGTAATCAAATCGAATCACCCACGCCATGGGTGATCCTATTTTGGACGAAGAGAGGTGGATTAATTGCGGGAAATTGGTTACAATATGATAGTTATGTTGTAAATGCAAAATAATTGATACGTGGATTGGCTTTGTGACGCGATAGATAGTTAAAGAAGTCAAGCTGTTGGTTTACAAGCATCACGTTAGGATAAAGGAAGCTTGTCGTAGTGGTGGCTATTCATTAGCTTGTTCTTTTAGCTATGGCATGCTTTGAAATAATTGTTTTCTTGCATTAAAGTGGTTTGTTGCATTGGTACAAGATGTAATATCAATTATATGTTGACGAAGGAATTATTTTGGTAATATAAGTTTTGTTATGATGTATAAAGGTTTGAATATTCACATGAGATATGATTTACAGTCGTTTTGTGTTATCATGATATGCCATAATGTTTTTTGAAAAGAGTAACGTATATTGGTTAATATACATGTATGCATGATGTAAGTACATTGAGATACTTTTAATGGATAGTAAACCTTTCCATAATACCTTTATGTGATGGCGGGAATAGTTAGGCTCGGTGCACCTTGTATAGTGTTGATATAATGTTGTGCCTTTGCTAGTAGGAAGAGAAGAACTAGCAGTAAGTGTGGTTTGCGCTAAAACTTCACTAGATGGCTATAGTGACGACCATAGTGACAGTTTATTATTGGTTCTGCCTTTGAAAACTTCCTGTAATTTGAGATGGAAAACTATTTTGATTAAACTGCACGTTATTGGTTTATATTGCTCAATTATTATGAAATGTTTGCTCTTACTTCACGTTTGATTGAAGTGTACATGTTTTCATAATGTAGATGCAAGTATATACTTGTCCTAAATAAAATGGCTATATTTGCTTTATTCACTCACCGGTCACTATGACTGACCCCCTCCCCTTATCTTTTACAGATTCACTAGCTAAGGTGGGGACTACTCCTCCAGACGTATGACTGTTAGTAGAGAGTTGATTCAAAGTAAGCCCCGCATTTGCTACGCGTGGGTAGTAACTTATACTATTTTTTAAGACTAGTTTGTATGTTTTTTTGGATATAATTCTAGAGTTTGCTTCACTAGTCGGTGTTAGGATTGTAGAACTAGTTTTGTAAGTCTAGTGTTGTGCTATTTTTGGATGTTTGGGCGTTTTAGTGTCCTTGGTTTGTGATTTGGTGACACTTGCGAATGTTATTTGTGCTGGGATTATTGGTTGGCTAATTCGGAGATTATTGGAATGCTACAGAGGAGATTCTTTCGGATTTTCATTATGAAAATGGTCTTGCTAGGTGAGCCAAGTTTCACTTGGCGTCGATCATGGCCCTAAATTGGGTTGTGACAAATATAGTTCAAGAAAAAACCCGTAAATGTGTTTGTACCATTGTTGTAAACATGCGTCCTCCCTGATTGGGGAAACATGATTATTTTTATTATATTTTGTTTCCTTTTCGTCCATATGATATCGGATTCTTGGAGTCTGCAGTTTCCTTTATGTTTGTTTGTTCTCTTTTATTTATGTTTCCTTCTAGAAGCTTATGAAGGGTTAGGGTATGATCACTTAATAAAACATTCATTACAATTCCATATGAAAATAAAGAAAGAATTTCTGATCATAAATGATGTTGATGCATGTCTGATCTAATGTACTTTTTGTGCTTTGTTATTCTCTCTTCATGAAGCCATGGCTTCCCAGGAAAAGTATCAGAAAAAAGAGGCAGTTGAAAAACCTCCAGAAATTGATGTAGTCGAAAAATCTAATAATCAGGTTGGAGAAAGTTCTGGTGCCCTGCCGCATCTTGTACGGATTCACGTAACTGACCGTGACGCCACAGACTCATCTAGTGACGAGGAGGAGAAGGCTGGAGGAGCGAAGACAGAGCAACATGGAAAGACGTGTGTAAAGGAAATCATCATTGAGAATGGAAAGACTGAGGTCATTCCGAAGAAGAAATCCAAAGAGAAGAAAGATATAACGGTGCTGCAAGGAGATGTGAAGAAGTACCGAGGGGTTAGACAGCGAAAGTGGGGCAAGTGGGCAGCAGAGATTCGTGATGCGAGGAGGAAAACTCGGCTTTGGTTGGGAACTTTTGACACTGCTGAAGAAGCTGCTTTGGCTTATGACAAGGCGGCCATTGAAATAAGAGGTGCTAATACTTTTACAAACATCCTCAAGCCACCACCAAGGGAGATGCTTCAAACAGATGATGCTAGGGTTTGATAAATGCTTCACAATTTTTTCTGTACCTTTTCTGAATTGGTAAACTTGGCTAGTTCCCAACTAATTGGAATGTTCTGTTTCTTTAGCGTGTGATATCATAACATGTTTGCCAATTATAAGACCTTTTTTCTTTATCAATCTAGCCTCCTTTAATTTTGTGAACATGGGTTTGGTAATGCTTTTTAAATTCACAACATGTTTTGGATGTTGAAGAAACTGCAGTTTGCATTGTTAGCTGGCTTTATAATTTTTCTATTTTGGAAGTTTCTCTTTTGTACATTTTATTAGGATATTTTTATTTGTCAATGTCTTTCAATGTTTATTTCTTTTTATGTCTTCTGAATTGATTTTAGCCTAACTTAAACTTCATTTATTCAAGCATCTCTATGATGAGTAATACTAGTGTGTCAAAGGAAATAACTAATTACCATAGTTGTTACATGTCGATAATAAAAGCCATGCATGAAAACATGTGACAAGTAACGTGTATATGTAAGTTAAGCCATTCAAGTTTAGTTGTTTCTGCTTATGTTACTACATTTTGATATTTGACATGATTTCATCTGTCTTGACGCACATTTGTGAATCAAGCAACGTTGTTATAAGATCCTTCAGGATGCTCCCAAGTTTATGTAATGTAAGTACTACATGAACTGAGAAAAGAAAATACTAGGTACAATTACGTGCTTTTACTCTTCTAAATAAACTAGCACTCTTAAAAGTTAAAACAGTCATGATTTTTGTTTCTGTACTCCATAGAGTTTAGTTGATCTTCCACTTTTATAGTCCTATCTTACTGGCTAGGACATGTGACAATCCATATATATTAAGTTCGTTTAATTTTTCTTTTTCCATATGGTTTTTGCATATTTTCAAATGGTTATGCATCTGGATTAAGGGAGATGTTTTAGTTATGTTTTATAGGAGTTTTTTTGTGAAAAGGTAGTAGAATGAATGATGCTCTTCCTGGGAAGTGGTGGCTTAATTCGTTTTTGTTTGTTTGTTCTCTTTTATTTATATTTCCTTCTAGAAGCTTATGAAGCGTTAGGGTACGATCACCTCATATTAATAAGATGCTCATTAAACAATTCCATAAAAAAATTAACAAAGAAGGTGTGATCATAAATGAAGTTTGATGCATGTCTGATCTGATGTACATTTCATGCTTTGTTTTTTCATGAAGCCATGGCTTCCCAGGAAGAGCATCAGAAAAATGAGGCAGTCGAGAAGCCCTCAGAAATTGATGTAGTTGAAAAACCCTCAGAAGTTGATGTAGTTGAAAAACCCTCAAAAATTGATCTAGTTGAAAAATCCATCAATCAGGTCGGAGAAAGTTCTGTGGTCCTGCCGCGTGTTGTGCGGATTCACTTACCGGACTCATCTAGTGACGATGAGGAGAAGGTTGAAGGAGAGAAGTCCAAGCGACATGTAAGGACGTGTGTAAAGGAAATAATCATCGAGAATGGAAAGACCACGGTCATCTCAAAGAAGTCCAGAGAGAAGAAAGATATAAAGCTGCTGCAAGAAAATGCGAAGAAACGGATTCACGTACCAGAGTCCGACGCCACAGACTCATCTAGTGACAATGAGGAGAAGGTTGAAGGAGAGAAGTCCAAGCGACATGAACGGATGTGTTTAAACGAAACCATCATCGAGAATGGAAAGACCCACGTCATCTCAAAGAAGAAGTCCAATGAGAAAAAAGATGTAAAGCTGCTGCAAGAAAATGCGAAGAAACGGATTTGCGTACCGGACTGCGACGCCACAGACTCATCCAGTGGGGATGAGGAGAATGTTGAAGGAGAAAAGTCCAAGCGACATGAACTGACGGGTGCCAAGGAAATCGTCATTGAGAATGGAAAGACCCAGGTCATTTCAAAGAAGAAATCCAAAGAGAGGAAACATAAAAAGCTGCTGCAAGAAAATGTGAAGAAACGGACTCACGTGCTGGACCATGACACAACAGACTCATCTAGTGACGATGAGGTGAAGGCTGAAGGAAAGAAGTCACAGCAGCAGGAAAAGACGTGTGCAAAGGAAATCACCTTTGAAAATGGAAAGACCGAGGTCATTTCAAAGAAGAAATCCAAAGAGAAGAAAGATATAATGCTGCTGCAAGGAAATGTAAATAAATACCGAGGGGTTAGACAGCGGAAATGGGGCAAGTGGGCGGCAGAGATTCGAGACACAAGAAAGAGAACTCGAACTTGGTTGGGAACTTTTGACACTGCTTATGAAGCTGCTTTGGCTTATGACAAGGCGGCCATTGAAATAAGAGGTGCTAATGCTTTGACAAACATCATCAAGCCGCCACCACGAAAGGAGATCAACATCATCTTCAAGATACCATCTTTACCAGCGGATGATGCTAGGGTTTGATAATGCTTCCCAACTTTACTGTACCTTTTTTCGATTGGTAAACTTGGAAGTTCCCAACTAATTGGTATGTTCTTTTTCTTAAAGCATGTGATGTGACCATGACATGTTTTCCGGAACATTATGAACAAAGAAGCTTCTGTATTTATCAATCTCTTCTTCTACTCCTTCCTTCAAGTTTGTGGAACAGGGGATTGATAATGCTTTTTATATTTGCTGCATGTTTTTTATGTATAGGTAACTGTTGCTTGCATTGTTAACTGGTTTATACTTCATTTTGGTTGTCTCTCTTTTCTATAGTTCAGTCGGATAAGTGTGTCAAAGGAAATAACTAATTACCATAGTTGTGACATGTCAATAATAAAAGCCATGCATGAAAGCATGTAAAGATTGACGTGTATATTTTAGTGCCTTGGACGTGAATTCAAGTTTAGTTGTATCTGCTTATGTTACTATATATGACATTTTTGACGTGATTTCATCTGTATTACGCACTCTTGTGAATCAAACAAGGTTATTGTGATCCTTCAGGATACTCCCAAGTTCATGAAATGTAACATGAACTGAGAAAAAGATACTAGGCACAATTGTTTGCTTTTACTCTTCTAAATAGACTATCACTCTTTAAACAGTCATTATTTTGGTTCTTGTACATAATAGAGTTTAGTTGTTCTTCCACTTCTATAGCCCTATCTTACTGAAAAGGACATGCGACAATCTATATGTATTAAGTTAGTTTAGTTTTCCCATTTCCATATAGTTTTTGCATATTTCCAGATTGTTATGTATCTGGATGAAAGGAAGATCTTTTACTTATGTTTTATAAGATTTTTAATGGAATGTAGCAGAATGAGTGGTGCTTTTTGCACTCAGTTGGTGTCTCACCCACTGAGAATTTTTGATCCAATTCTTTGTGCTTGAGAAAACCAACGTTGTGATCTGGACTAGGTCTTTGGTGGAGAAATGGGGTGTCCTTTTCTTTTTCTCTCTCCCTATGTTATACATTATCCACCGAGGGTCTATCGGAAACTGATTCTCTACCTTCGGGAGGTAGGGGTAAGATCTGCGTACAAATAATGAGAATATATTGGGTATGTTATTGTTATACAATATCCAATTCATTAGATAAATCGCTCTGTGGCAATGTGGCACCTTTATTGTTTTAAGTGATCTTTTGGTTTATACGCTAGTAGAAAATATAGATAACTGTTATCACTTTTATTTTTCTTTCATTGTTTAAATAATATTAAAATGAGATGAGCTTAATTTAAGCGTCACGAATAATGAGAATTCATATAATTTGCCCAATTTTTTTGGTTTTGAGGTGTATTTGTTGTAGTATTCCCAGTTAAGATTTACAGCAACAGTAGCTAAAAAAAAAAATACTCTACTTAAGCGAAATAGGCCTTAGTTTATAAGAAAAAAAAGTTAAGACTGTATATTTCTAGTTTAGTGGAATTTTACTACAGTACTGAAGCAAGTTATACATTCCACAAGGAGCTTCTTTCTCCCTTGCAATACTCTGAGGAACATAACAGTAAAACACGATTAAACTAAAGGCAAAGATCACTTTTAGTTTGCGACAGAAACTATTTACATTTAGTAATTGCAAATTTTATATGTATATATATATACACACACCTGTAATGTTACTCAAATCAATATATTTCTTCATCAAAATGAATTACTTGCAAGTTCTGGCCAATTTTGCACAGTTCTCAGTTCTCACAGAATCTGAGTGCCTTGCAAATCTTACATAAAAATGAATTTAAGGGATACAATGCAGGTTTTTTTAATTTACTGTTGGAAGAAAAACATTAAACTAAAAGAAAATCAATAAATATTTCTAACCTCAAAAAACAGTAACTGACAAAATCAGTGTTTCAACCCTATAAGATTTGCAAAAAAGAGCAGTTTTTGTGGGGTGCCACATGCAGATCATGCAAGTTTTAGCATTACAAATGTAGCCACACAGACAACAATCAACCAGCTGCCACCTTCATATATACTCTGATATATCATAACTGAAACCACACAGAAAGAAGAATCAGAAATCAGAAATCAGAGAGAGAGAGAGAGAGAGAGAGAGAGAGAGAGAGAGAGAGAGTGTTTCTTGATTTTTCAAGCTAGGTATGTTCTATAAATTCTCTCAGATTTTGTGCTGTTTAGTTGAGTTTTTGATGTGTGATTTTAATTCTGTGTGCTTCTACACGCAGAAAAACACACATTTAAACTTATATGTCTAAATTTCAGTGATGGATTTATGACTTTTTTTTATGTATGTACTGAATTTTTCTGTTTGAAACTCTAGAGGAAGATGGACATCCTTTCCTTTCTTTCTTAATGAAATTAATATAGATGTTTCTGACTGCCGAATTGTTAACCTGCAAACAACTCGATTTTGTTGATTTACTGTCTATTTTTCCTCTAGGGTTTTAACTTTTAAGTGAATCTAAAAGTTTTAAGTGAGTTAGTGTTTTGCGTCAATGGATGCAAAACTTGACATAAATAATACTATATGTTTTTAAAGAATTTTAAGTGTATATAGTTCGAGTTGAAGATAACAGATGCTTATGGTAAATGTGAATCCGGGCGCTTTGAAGATAGAAATTTATTAGTTATTATTATTTTTTTCATTTTCTTTTCGATAGGGTACGAGTTTCTTAAAGTAATTGGCGGTTGCCTTTTTGTTTGTTTGTGCTTTTTTTTATTTACATTCCTTCGAGAAGCTTATGAATAGTTAGGGTACGTTCACCTCATATTGATATACATTGGTTAAACAATTACATAGAAAAAATAAAGAAAGATTTTTTGATCATAAATTGAAGTTAATGCTTTATCTTTCTTTCATTTCATAAAGCCATGGCCTCCAAAGAAGAGCATCAAGAAAATGAGGCAATCGAAAAACCCTCAAAACCCGATGAAATCGAAAAATCAACCAATCAAGTCAGGGAAAGTTCCGCTATCCTTCCGCCTCTTGTACGGATTCACGACTCCCCTAATGACAAGGAAGAGAAGGATGAAGGAGAGAAGTCAGAGCAACATGAAAAGACGCATGAAAAGGCAATCATCATCGAGAATGAAAAGACTGAGGTCATTTCAAAGGAAAAGACGAAAGGAAATGCGAAAAAGTACCGGGGAGTTAGACAACGAAAATGGGGCAAGTGGGTGGCAGAGGTACGCGATACAAGGAAAAAAAATCGGATTTGGTTGGGAACTTTTGACACTGCTGAAGAAGCCGCTTTGGCTTATGACAAAGCGGTCATTGAAATGAGAGGTGTTGATGCTTTTACCAACATCCTCAAGCCACCGCCAAGGGAACCACCACCAAAGGAAATCAACTTCATTAATCCACCACCATCTTCATCCAAAGATGATGCTAGGGTTTGAGAAAGATGATGCTTTACTGTTTTAATGTACTTTATATGAACTAGTTGTAAATCTGGTTAACTCCCAACTTTCTTTTTTCTTAAAGTATGTAATGTGACAAGTTTCCTGGACAATAGTGGAAAATAAACTTCTATCTTTATCAATCAATCTTTTTTTTTTTTTTTTTTTTTTTTTTTTTGGTTAATAAAGATATTTATTTAACTAAGCTAAGTAGCATTACAAGTTTACAACTATCTCACAAGGATGTCCAGTAGAGATCATATCCATGTGTAAAAGGGCAGTCCGGTGCATTAAGCTCCCACTATATGTGGGGTTCGCGGAAGTCGGACCACAAGGGTCTATCGTACGTAGCCTTACCCTGCATTTCTGCAAGAGGTTATTTCCACAGTTCGAACCTGTGACCTCCTGGTCACATGACAACAACTTTACCAGTTACGCCAAGGACCCCCTCCATCGAATCCATGTGTAGTAGGAGATAAAACATTATTCTCCTTAAGAAAATATTAGTTAAAAGTGATTTTGGACTATTTTACTCTTATTTATGTCTTAAAATATAATATCTCTTCATTGAATATTTACTTTACGTATATGTTATCTCCATCTTTAAGAACAATTACTATTAAGGGTAAAATGAAAAAAATAATTAAATTTGTTTTGAACTTCTAAAATGACAAATAATTTGAGATAACTATTTTTAGAAATCACGACAGTCGACAGATAATTTAAGACGGACGAAGTACAAAACTAGCCAAGTTATTACCCAAGCTTTCTGTAATACTTTGTGTTTTATGTTTTTTGATGTACAGGAAACTGTAGCTAGCTTGGATTGTTAAAATGGCTTGATATAGATTTGGCCCCGAACAATTCATTCGAGGATTTGAATATGCTTTTTTAATTTTATTTTAGATTTGTTTTTTTTTTAGTCCGCTACTCGCATTAGAGCCGACTAAAGCGCTCCATATTGAGGAGTAAAACGCTCCCTAACAAAGGTGACTCCATATTTAGGGCTCGAATATGAGACATCTCCTCTGATTAAGGATGAAGATAGAGGCGGAGCCACAGTGTCGGCTATGGATTCGGTCGAAACCAGTAACTTTGGTTCAAATCATGTATTTATCTAAAAAATTTTATTAAATATGTACAATTTATTAATTTAGAATCCAGTAATTTAAAAGGATTAGAATTCCGAACCCATAAACTTGAAATCCTGACTCCGCCTCTAGATGAAAGAGTACTTACCACTCTACCTAATGTTTGGCTATAATTTCATATTTTTAGTACATTACTTACCTTACGTTTTAGGTGCTTTAATGCTAAATTATATTATATTTATGCTTAATTGAGTTTATTTTATGTGTAGGTACGTTGAAGACGAAATTGGGAGCAAAGTAGAGATTTTATGTGTATTTTATACACTACAAGAATGGAGTTATGATATTTGATTATTGAATATACAAAGAAATAAAGTTTAACATTACAAAGGAAATCAAAACAAAGAAAGGAGAACAACTGAAAAGAACCAAAAGCAAGAAACGAGAATGAGAAAAGAGTTTGAAAAGTTACGCAACAAAAATTGAATTGAAGCTAAGCAGTTGGGCAACGTGAGAATATTTGCTCGCTATAGAGCATGCGACACAAGGATTAAAGCTCGCTATGGAGCTGGCGACGCGCAGGCTAAAGCGAGGAGGAGCTCGCGTCAGAAGTTGCATCGCACAGTATGTAGCGAGGTGAAGCTCGCATTTTGTCTCGCGAGGCGAGACCCGTGGCAAGCGTGTTTCGAATTTTTAAAGCCTACTTTGTCTTCTATTTGGTTTTGGACTTGGTTATTTCGTCTATGTCTCTCCCCTACACATATAAATAGTCATTAAACACCATTTTTCAGGGGGGAGTTTTGCGACCGGAGGCAAGAACAAAAAGCTTGGAGGAGGCTTCTAACTAGTTTTTCTTTTCTTCTTTTCTTTTAATCTCATAGTTTATTAGTTCTAGAGTTTTGTGTGATGCATGATCGTTGTAGTTTGAAGCTTGAATTGTTCTTATTAATTTATCATATTGGTTTATTTATTCAATCTTGCGCTTAATTATTTGATTGCTTGATCATCAATTGAATACTATCTACGAATCTAGGATTGAACTCGGGAGAGGGAATTCTAGATTGCATATAAGATTGAGTAGAGCAAGATCTTAACTCTGAGGGGGAGCGGATTTGCGATTAGGATATGAATATACCTAATCGCCTTGCTTGGTTACTATACAGGAATTATAAATGCGTTCTTGTTAATTCTAATTCCATAGGAATATAGGCGTTAAATTAGCTTGAATATGCGAGTTATACTCCGGGAGAAGGCTACAAGCAATATTAACCCTGTCAACCAATTAACCAGATAAATTAATTAGACGATTTAAGTGAAAAACTCAACGGGATTGTTACCCAACCCATAACTCTAGAATATTCACTCACATTGAATTCGTCTTTAAGCTTGTCGTTGTTTTCTTTAATCTCTTAATTTGTTACTCTAGATTAATTTTAGTTAAATATTCATACGTTAAGATTCACTTGAATATATTAATTGTTTGGTTTAATTTGTTGATAGTTAATCACAAGTCCCCGTGAGTATGATATCTGGACTTACAATCCTATATTACTTGTACGACCACGTATACTTGCGTGTGCGTTTGGGAGCAATTATTTGTCCAATTTAAATATGTCAATGCCTTCGATATATAGGTCCTTTTTACTCTTCTTGCAAATCTTACAGGGTTGAAACACTGATCTTTGTCAGTTACTGTTTTTTAAGGTAAGAAACATTTATTGATCTTCCTTTACTTTTATGCTTTTCTTCCAATAGTAAAAAATCTAAAAAGAAGAGCAGTGAATATTATTTGCAACTTCTATAACGCTACAAAGTCTATACACAAAATCTGCACATTATATGCACATAATCTGCACAATTCAAAAGTCAAAAAGATAGTTCACCCCAATTTGAATTACAAACATTGCAACACACCGGTATATGGTTTTGGAGACATAATTAAATAAATAAAAATATATTATTTCTAAAAACTTAAGTTTTAGATTTTGGTCACATACTTCAACATGGTAGCAGAGTAGACAAAGATCTCATGTTCGCGTCCCACCGTCACCCAATATCAAAAAGAATTTTCACGTGTTTAGCTCATATAAAAGAATCAAGTCCGCACGTGAGGGGTCATATTGGAAAAATAATTAAATAAATAAAAGTGTGTTCTCTCTAACAACTTAAATATTTAGATGAAATGGTCTCACCCTTTAAAAATATTGGAGCAAGAAAACATCTTAAGGGAGGCTAATAATATGAAAAAAGCCAATTGAGATTGGAAGATTTATATGACCAGACAATTGGAGAGAAAAGAAAAGAATAACAACAAAATGGAAAGACAACAAATTAAAGCATTTAATAGTGGTGATAAATTTAATCCTCTACGCTAAAATCTAAAAGCTATTGCTAACCTTTTATTATCAAAATCAAGGCACAAAATCTCAGTAGCCTGAACTATCTAGCAATGGTACATTAGTAAACGTATTGACGTTTTTAAATAAAAAAGAAAAGAATATTACATATATAAATTCTAGTGCGAAGAAGAGCAAAACTGTAACGATTCGGTCGATCGTTTTGAGTATTAAAACCCCGTTTTCTTATTTACTACTCAAATTGTGATTTACGATTGTTATTTGACTTGCCGGGGTAATTGGTTCGGGTCCGGTGAGGTTTTGGAATGATTTGGAACACTATTCCAAGGTTTAGAATTTAAGTTGAAAGGTTAACCGGATGTTGACTTATGTGTAACGACCCCGAAGAATTTTTGCTAAGGAAATTAAGGTTTTGTGGTGCCGAGCTAGATCAATTAGTACAAAGGTTATAGAAATTTCGGCTCGGACTTTTTGGATTGAACAATGCACTGAGAAGTAAAGAAAAATTTTCGGCAGAAGAGGACATTTTTGCGGCACACTATGCGGTCGCAGAATCACTCTGCGGACCGCATAATGGCCGCAGAGTGAAACAGATTTGAGGTAAGATTTGAGAAAAATCTGCGGTGCATTATGCGACCACAGAACAGGTATGCAGGCCGCATAATCACCGCAGACATAAACATGCGACCCTCGTTTTGGAGCTTCAATTATGCGGTCAGTTTGCGGACCGCATACGTGTTATGCGATCGCAAATCTGCGTCGGGGCTTCAATTCTTTCTAATTTTTTACCTGACCCAACTTCAATTTATAGCCCTTGAAACTCATTTTGGAGCAAAAATCTGACATTTTTAGAGAGAAGGAAGAGTGTTCTAGAGAAAGGAAGAAGCTCAAGTGCTTTGTTCATCAAGATCTTGTTCAAGCTTTGAAATCCAACAAGGAAATATCACAAGATCTTCGCCCAAGAGGTAAAGTTCTAACCCCTAGTCTTCAATTTTGAGTTTGGGTAAAGATGGGTGATTAAGAATATGATTCTTGGGTGTAAGAGTATTATTTATACATATCAATAAGGTTTATGGAAAGATTGTTGAGTACAAATGAGTGAAGATTGGGTTGAAAATGGTAGAAATCTTCAAAGACTTTAATTAAAGATTTGAGGGTCGAGTTGATGTCGGAATTTGGTGAAATTTGTATGATTGGACTCGTGGTTGGATGGGAGTTTATATTTTATAACTTTTGTCGGGTTACGAGACGTGGTCCCCACATGCGATGTTTGAGTTAATTTCGAATTGTTATTGAAAAATTAGTATTTCCTTATGGAATTAATTACAATAATTGGTATTGACTGAATCAAATTAATTGTGGCTAGATATAAGGCTTTCGGAGACCAATTCTCGTGGCAAGGGCATAGCGGAATAAATAATTATACGGTTTGAGGTAAGTAACAGTTCTAAATTTGGTCTTAAGGGTATGAAACCCCGGATTATGTGTTATGTGATTATTTTTGAGGTGACGCACATGCTAGGTGACAAGCGTGTGGGTGTGCACCGTAGAAATTATGACTTGGTCAAATTCTATGGGACCGTGTAGTTGAATTATCTGTTGATATCCGTATATTCTCTACGTGTTAGGGAAAATTGAGCTGAGACACGTATTA